AAACGTTCTGCTTTGCTGCATATCAGGGAGCCATTTTGGTCCCTGATTGTTTCACTGACAAGAGGTTTCCGAGGACCAGTCGAACGAATCAACTGGAACAACTTGCGCACGTTTCCAGCATTCTTTGCATCTTCCATTTCTCCGACCTTTCGGGTCCACCAAGCTTCTCGGTCTGCGCGGACACTCAGTTTCACCTGGCGTCGGGTGATGCGCCGGACGGTCATTAGATCCAGTCAAGGAGTAATCGATTGAAAGAGTGACAAAGAAGGCGAACTGCAACAATATCACAGTAAAATCACTCAATGAGAAACACCCACCGGGTAACCAAGTTGTCCACAACTGCGGGATGTCCCAATTTCAAGGCTACAAGTCCGAATACTCAAAAGAATGGATGTATTTATCCTAAGCCCACGGAACATGATTAATGGCAAGGTAAACTGGCGAATTTTCAGGTGATAAAGCATGGGTTTCGAGAAATTACTCGGTCCTTCAATTCAAGACTTGTATATAGTTGGTAATGTGTTGGAATATTGGTAGCTCGGGTGTATTGGTTGGTAATTGATCAGGTGGCTGTTGATCAGTTCGCCGAGCTTGGTAATTGATTTGCAAACGTTTCGTCACCATTCGAGGAGACATCTTCACTGCGCACTGAAGATGTCTCCTTGAATGGTGACGAAACGTTTGCAAATCAATTGCCAAGCTCGGCGAACAGATCAACAACCACCTGATCAATTACCAACTTGTATATTGTGTTATAGGACGAAGTTCGACCGGTATCGTCGTATCTTACACATCATTAGCGGATTACTACCAGACGGTGGCATCATTGCGTGGTAATCGTTTGCGGAAATTGCGATGAAGTTTGAATCTACGATCAAGCGAGTGATGACTGTAAATAACATCCTAACACCACCTTATGTAGAAGGGCGCCGGAAACCAACGTGTTTCTACCGTAATTACATACCTGTCTCTTCAGTCGAATATCATCATTACCTCTCAGGTACTGCAGCTACCTTCGTATACTAGCCAGCTCAGCTTTTCGAAGGATGTATTATTTCATTCTGGCTACCCAGTATATTACGGAAGTGGGGATTATTGAACCGGACACTGTCCCTATGCAATTAACTCGCCATCCAAAAAAGGAACAAATCTACTTCCAGGATTCATGCCGCACAATCCTCCGCATACGCGGGGACTGATCGAGTTCAGAATGGTGATGCTTCCTTGAATCAACACGGTCGATGTTCTCTGGTTCGATAAATGGTTGCATGTTGGGTGACTTCACCGTGCTTTGGATACTCAAAGCCTTCAAAACTCAGAAGGACGAGAATTCACTTAAACCTCGAGTGTCAGACAGATGTGTTTTCGGTCACGATAAACCGCACACGTTAATTCTAACCCGTTCACATACACACAGGCAAAGCACAAAAGTAGATAAAGTATTTGGGTTCTGCTGATAACAGGATGGTAACAGGATCCGAAGGTAGCATCTGACAACACCGACATGAGAGAAAACAGGTCGATCTGAAGCGTGATCCGTTGCATCAGCGCTTTAGCGACACGAACTCACATGCACACAAGTTCATGGGTCGGAATAAATAAGGGATGTGGATAAACAAAACCCACCAGTCACCTAAATTCGATTGAACGTTCCCAAAAACTGTAGTGTAACGTAGCGCAAAACTGCACAAGGTCGGGATATCAAGCCCCACATTCAATGCATTACCCGACTAGCCCAGGAATGAGATAGTGCTTTGGGTATTAGGATGTGCCCCGACTCAGCTTCTCACGAGTGCGTGCAAAATGAAGTTTGGTCGCCTTTTTGGACGCCCGTGCCCAAAGTCAAAGTGCTTAAGCGACTTAGCTCCTCATCTCTATAACCAGTGGATGTCTCATACTCAGTCTCACCTAGAGAAACCGTGCAAATTTCAAACTTCTAGTATTCTATAGCCGTTGAATAAAACAAAAATATGGTTTTTAAAGAAGTTAAAAGCAGTTTGTTAGTCTTGTTTGCTTTCTTGTTGTTAGGTGGGCAACGGGGGACCGCCATCCGGTAGAATTTTAGGCATCAACCAGGCCACTTATGTCACTTAGTGAAGTGCTTTTGTATGAAACTTTACGGACTTATGCTTGCACGATCATATTACACTACTAAAACAAAACGATAGGCAACCTAGAAGATCAAACAGCGTATAAAGTGGTATGACAACTTCCGGCTGATGTGCAATCCACAAAAACTGGGTACAAAACTTACTTTTGCTGAAGCATCACATGCACCTGAGACGAAGGTGCGATTGTCAGGAGCTAGACTGAGACTCATCACATCGCCGGTGTGGCCGGTGAAATTGGCAATCTGTTGACCGGTTTCAATATCCCATAATCCACTGAAAGTGGTTAAAAGAACAGCAAGTTGGTGCGAGAGAGTACGGCAAAGATAATGGAGCACACAAAAATCGCCCATGAGCTGAGTAGATCAAAGTGAATTAAACGGAAGTAGATGACTGAAAGACCGGGAAGGATGACCCATACTTCATCTGTCTGTGCACACTTTCAGGAGCTATTCGGTGTACGGCAATACAAAATTGTCGTGCAAACTTAGTAGACATTACAAATCACTTTGAAAGAGAGAAACAAGAAAACTCCAAGTTGAAGAATTTCATAAGCGAGAGATTTAGTTGAGTCACTCATGAAAACCAAATGCGTGCATTTGTGGACAACTTCAAGTTGTTGTGTCCGAATCAGGAAGAATTTCGAAGAGAAGGTAAAATGAGAAAGCGTTAAATAGACTGCGAAGAAAATCCTACTGATAACAGTCAGCGTATGTGCAGATGATGTCGACAAACATACTGACATTGACATTCTGGTGCGAATTGATCTGTTGCATCCCACGATACGAAAGAGGCACCAAGCTACAATCAGTAGTATCAGCAGAGGCACGTTTAGAGCCATCGGTTCAAGTTCAACTGAAGATTGATCGACAATCAAGTGCGTACAGGCTCTTAGGTCAGTGGTGGTGGCAGATCGCACAACTCGCGAACCACGCAGTATGGACAAACAAGCAAACACTCCCTTCCGGTGCATAGGCTATCACTCGGTGCAGCCATACCGCCTGATATCTGCGTGACCGAACTCGTATGCAGTGAATATCAAAACATGTGAATGCCCACCTAGGTCGGCGTTTGGTGTGACTAGAGAGCTGCATATTAGTAGGTTAGGTCCTATTGGTATTTGAGAATGACAAACCTTACGGGAAAAAGCAGGTCGTCGGATTAATGGAATCCGGGATTTCTGCAGCCTCACAATCTGGAGACCGAAGAAAATGTCTGTATTTTGACAGAACATAAGAGCACAACTAGGAAACTTGTGTTCTGAATCGCAGAAGCTGTTGAACAAATGCGGAACCCTAGACGTGATAAAATCATGTTCAAACGGGCAAATAAACATCTCAACCAACCAGATAGCCAACTCCTAACTCTGAGAGCGTCATGGCCCAAATTAGGAGAGATTGGATTCAATGCGATGAGTATACCATCCTTGAAGTAGAGGGACAGATCCCAACCGGGTGTTTGTTCTGGTCAGCCCAGTGATGTCAGACACTCTGGACTCCCAATCATAAGGTACTCAATGTGGTCACTATCCAAAAACCGTCACTGTATCTGTTGACGAAACACCGTACATTAAACGAGGACCACATGAAATTGAAGAACTGGACACAAAAGAACCTCCTCTCCGAATAGGCCACATTCAGAGCCCGCATTTCGAATCATTTAGGAAATTAATTTCACCCCATAGGTTCACTCCGAATTACACTCGCAGCACCTAAGATCAGACCATAGTCGTGTCCTCTGACTAGACGGTGGCTCCAATAGCATTACATTCGAATTCACGATTTTCATATGTACATGCTCTCCTTTATGCTTTCAGAAGGTTTCGACCGCAGAGTTGACCAAATGGAGATCCAATGGCGGGTGAGTATCTGTGGATCAAAATCAGCTCAATAAAGAGAAAGTACGGACACGTGTACACATACACGAGAAAGGCGACGGAACTTGTCTGCTGAATGTTGTATTTAACTCAGTTGTGGGGTTCTGGCTGAACGCACTGGATTTACGAATTGTTTGGATTAAACGCTGCAGACGACCATCTGTCGTCTCAATGATGAATACGGAAACTACGAGGACACGCTCTCTAGCTGCGTCTGAAAACGAGCTACTGTGCGATGTGAGCTACTTACTGTTTAGCGATGAACAAGCAGAATTTGCAGTTTGACCCATTAGCCAATACGAGCCTGGTAATGCCAACAGTGCTGTTAGCACTGTCGGGCGAAGACGACAAGGCGAATGTAATCCTACCAAGATAAGTTTCGACAGTTAAAATATGGAGCTAACGACGGCAGAAGTGTTTCGTTCTCTGACCAGCCATTCACTCAACCGAGCAATCGAACCAATACTGAAGGATTAGATTGTTATCCAAGCAGTTCGTTGATCAGTCATTCATGAAGATCGACGACTGGTTAGAGGCAACATTCGAGTGGCCAAGTTAACTGAAAAAGCAAGTCTAGCGAGTCGCATTCACCAGCTGCACATCGCGGTCGAAGAGACGTATGACCCCAAGTCACCATTGTGTAGATTCTAACCACAGGGCCATGATATCCTTTCACGTAGTCGAACTATTTGACAAGTGATCGTTGCTAATGCGTTATTGGTAACAGTCCGTCATTAGTTACAAATTCACCGCTGTTTCCGGAACTATTTAGGCAGAGTAGATATTTCGACGGCTGTGGCTCGATAATACGGTTTGGTGAATTTTTCCCGGGTAAACTGTCCAGTGTTAAAACAGTTAAGTAAGTAAGGGGTGGTAAATGCACCAGCAAATAAAGTAAAACCCTAGTTTATGTAGGTATTATTCGAGTTACCGTATATACGAGAACCATGGGGCTCTACAGCGCTAATGGAAAGAAAGAATAATGAGCAGCCGCCTGTGATAGATACATTTTCAAAATCTCCAATACATACTTGTATCAAGAAAGTACTCCTTCATCAGGCGGTATTAACTTTTGTAACCCCAAAGCAACATATGGGACGGAAGGCAAATATAGTACTTTTGCATATTCGCTGGAGCCATCTAATTATATCATTAGTAAAAGCAATGAAGATTACCCATAGCTAATCTGCGTTTCGAAGCTGAGCAATAATGACTGTTATTCAACAAGCAGACGAACATGTGCCCGATCTGATGAAAGCTGGATAGAAGTTTAGAGAACCACAGCAAGATCCGGTTCAGGAAAAAAGTGAGAACTCGAAACATCTAGGCCAATGTAGCTTCTAAAACTGTTTCAGCTCACAAGCTAGAAGTGGGCACGCACAGAAGAGACTGACTAATGCTGAGGATATCGAATAACCTGGTTGGGCAACAAGGATTAGAAGGGATCAAGTGAAAGAAGAACCTGGGTGTGGATTACGAAGAACAAAGAAACAACCAAAAAGAAGGCTAAACATTGGAACCATCTGATCTATGGAAGAAAGGACAGGCAAATGGAAAACAACAATTGCCTCAAAGCGAAGAGAGATGAGTAGAACAAAAATCCATGATTCCGATGGATGGGTATAGCAGAAAGGTTCATGCTGTAAAATAATGGATCAGAATTATTGAATCGCGAGGAACTGTTAGGATAGAGAGTGGTAAAGAGTCTCAAGTCCCGGAAGAAGATCAAATGCGAGGTAGAAAGAGATCAACAAAGTTAGAATAGGATGCACTGGAGTTAGCAGAACCCAGCTGTCAGATAAATATCTGACATAAAAACCACGTGGTAGGTGGTTCAAGCTGACGTTCAAGTACTAGCGACCACACTATGGAAGCCTAATGCGGTTCACCAATCCAGGCCCCTGGGTTGAGATAGCTGTCTATCACCTACTACACACATATGCACCGCACTAACATCCTCATAAACCTAAAACCTCAGTCTTCTATCATTCCACTGCTTTGTATAATGTCCTGCTCCTCCATTCCATTCCTTAATGGAATACAAACATCAGACAGCGATGATTTCATTCAACTTTCCGGTTTCTCCACACACCATTTCTCCTGTTACAAGAGTGGGGTTTGTCTATATTCACTCCTACTCTGACTTCCACACCTGATTATCGCTCCTCTGATTTTCAGTATTCCTCTAGTGAACAGAAGTGCACAATTCACCCAGTGGCACTGTCAACTATGCTCTCCATTGCGTGTCAACTGAGAGAACTCCCTGCATCATCATCATCACCATCATCATCATCATAATCATCATCATCATCATCATCACCATCAAACACAGCAACATCAGTTTTGGAACTGATGCTTTGTTTCCTGCGGTGCGAAACAAGCGCTTAGCTACTTACAACCGGCTGTACCACACATCAGAACTTTGACTTTCTAGCCTTGTCATCAAAAATGGCTTTCTTCCCTACCTGAATACCATACCGTGATTAAGACTCACCATAGGCCCTAGAAATTTAAACGACAGGTTCCTCATCAGTTGCACTACTGTGTTGTCATTTACTCCCAGCTAACTTGTCCCTCATGTCTCCGTTCCTGTGTTTTAGGGCCAACCGTCCACTGACGGCATGCGTCGATTTTCAGGTGCATAACCTTGGGAATGGTGCACCTCCAGCAATCCTAGGATTTCAGCTAAGCACCTCACGAGTGACCTTAATAATGGGATGCACACAAGGAGTGCACACAATTCATCTCACTTCCGAGAGCTCTCATCCACGGAATGGCCTAAACACACGTTTTAGCGATGTTAGGAGAAAAAGCCGGATTTAGTAATGTATTTTAACCCAATCCTCCTTCATTTTGTCCGCAATATCATTGCACGCAAATCTCGTGCGACCACCACCAACAAGAATCAAGATACGTTGACCAATCGCAAGAGCGGATCAACTGTTGAAGACCTGTGAGAAGTGGATCCTGCTGGGATCGTGTGGAAACAGCTAACCGGAATTTCCAATCTTCTTTCTGTCCTCGAGTTTTTGAATCCAATGCAGTCCTTGACATGCGCCCTTGATTAGAAATCTATATATTTAACGGCATTTTGTCTCAAATTCTATCACTTCTCCCAGAAACACAGTCCATCCAGACTCACAGCTGCTTGCCACAATCCATCAACTCATCTAGAACTGCTTATGAATATTTTCTGCCGGTTAACCCCCCCAAACATCCTAGTCTTTATTGATTTCTATCTGTTTTTGCTCCGTACCGGAGCTCCCGACCTCGCTCCAAGTTCACCACGTGTTCTGTCTCCCACCCTCTAGTGGTATAGTTTCCTTCTCTTGGAAAAGCTTCCACATAGCCCCATTCCAAAAAGTCGGCTACTATCTGACCTTTAATACGACTGCCGCATCTCTATCACCAAGAGCAATGTGGCCAAACACCTAGGTGATATGGGAAATAACAGCCTACTGAGCAATCGCAAATATGGATTTAGGCACCATTGCCCTAACGGAAACTCCTGGTGTACGTATGACATGTACGGTCAGTTGCCCTGAAATCGTTTAGAAAAACTAAGGTGATATTCTGGCGGCATCTGAACCACGTGAACTAAAGTGCACTTATCTATAAACCAAGTTAAGTTATGTACAATGTTGCCTATGGTCAGTTATTTTGACTATCCATCATTACCCGAAGAACTTGCCACTTCAAGCCAAGTTTAACCTCATCAGCTGTTTTATGAATCGTATTAAGATTCCAGCGAAAAACGTCTGTTTTGTCGATTCATCTTGAACCGAAGGGCAATGGATTCGCTGCTCTGAATCCCTCCGCCATCGCGTAAGGTCAAGTACGATAAAACTATCGACGGCCTTCAATCAGGCATTAAAAAAATGACCTGAGTACCCAACTACTAATTACGGACATTATCCAGATGTGGCGAGATGGGCTGAAAACTTCCCTACAAACCGTTCAGTTCAGGTACAATACAGTCCAATACAATACCCCTAATGTCTCGTATCCATAATGTCAGACCAGGTATCTCTCAAGGTTCCTTTTTTTACTTTACATTGTCCCACTTGGTTAGCAACGATCTGCTTCCATCGGCCTTTGGCTGCATTTATACTTATGGAGGCGACAACGTTTCAGGTCTCCAGAACTTGTTCTTCTCAAAGCTACACTTTGTCTCAGATTCATAGAGCCACGTATACGCCATCGGCATACCAAACTCTAATGTTACAGATATTTACTAACTTCTTTTGTCTCATTCCCACTATGGAACACTGCTACGCAACTCTTGTTTCCAAACAGTATTCGAGGAAAAGTGTGCCTCCTTCCTCCTGCGACCAATCTACAACTACTCTCAAAGCGCCCAGATGTAGCTTTCCCCTCGTTGTTTTGTCACTACTGTGATAGCCAATGCTTAGCCGAACCCGTTCCCTACGTATTGTTACAAAATCATTCAGCAGTGCTCTAACCACCCGTAGCAAGCTTCAGTTCGTCGTCACCAAATAAGACTATTTTTCAATAAATTGGAAAATGTTTTGGACCGATTGGGTGGTCATCACTTCTATTTTTTTCTCTTTATTTCCTCCAGGGCTACCAGCCTTTGGAAATCCATTTCATTCGCTATTTGTTTTAATCCTCGTCACATCGAGATTCGTGTCAAAGTCCTTCTGTCCAGACCTCCGTGATGCTCTACTGTTGTGAATCATGCACACATTGTTGGTGTTTCTCGTGCTGAAGCCGATTTTTATACTCCACTGATAGTTTCGTGTTTTTTTATTACCAAAGTGATGTCTGCTGTCTTCACACAGGATGATTGACTATGGATCTTCCCTATTTCTGTACACCATCCTTGTGACTAATAAAAAACCTCATCATTATTACACTGATCTCAAATTCAGGTGTTTTGCGTCACACGTCGTCCTGAAACAGGCATCAATGCAAACAGATCGAAGTACAATCACCACAGTCAATGGGGCAAAGATTGGAGTCAAAAGAGATCCAGACAGATCGACAGTACTCCAACCATCACACATGCTCAAAAATCGTCGGGAATTGAAGGAGTGATCGACTAGGGACTAGTACGACCTTACCGATTTATAGTTTGAGGTGGCGTCATGGGAAAGGAGTTTCATGGAGGCCACACTAGGACTGGTGTGGCACGCAGTAAGGAAAACACAGCGAAGCTCAACAAAAAGATTGCCTCCAATTAACAATGGAATCTGAATCGAAACCGGTCACTTGAGAGACTGTTGACAAAATAGCCAGGTTGCTTTTGAAGCAAATGGGGACCATATAATAAGGGAGCAAGGTTCCGAATAACAATGCTCATTATGTCCAGAAACAGGCATGAGAATGAGAATGCTATCTAAAGATGAGGAATAGAAGCAAAACAGTTCGAAGGTGGTGGACAATCTTGAAACGAATAGTTCACGATAAGCGAGGCGTTGTGTTGATCGTGAGTTTATATTTTCTATTGTACAGTGGCATTACGACGCAGTCGTGTGATTGGAATATGCAAGAAATGCACCCATTGTTGATTCTACACCGGGTTCATGCTTACAACTAGGTGACCATGCATTACCAATGAATTCAGGCGAAGCCTGCAGAATACCCGAAGATTACCGTATTAGAGTTTGCAGTGGAAACTGATCCACAACCCAGTAAACTGTTTGTCGCACGAAACAGATGCTCGACAGGAGGAAATATTGAAACGGGATGTTCTTTGTTCGATAAATCGGTCTTAAGGACAAAACAGGCTGTGGAACGAAAACGGAGAAGGCACATAAAGTTGAGAAAAAAGGCATCAAACTGTGCTTCCTCAATTAGTGTGTGAAGGAGAAACGAGAAAAACCCGACCAATTGTGAAATCCAGATGCATCAAATGTCAGTTAAAAAGTGAGAAAAGTATCTGAATCAAATAGAAATAGAAAGAGGGGTGCGTGAATACAGAAGATGGACAATTAAGACGGATTTCAAACGGACTCTTGTTCCTCTGATCGAAGAAATTTGGAGAGACTATTCGCACTAGGTCATGCTCCCTAGATGGACGACAAGGTGTCTCATGCCAAAGACAGGGATACAGCAAGAACGGAGTGACAGAGTTGTCTGCATGAAGAAGTGAATGAACATACAAGCACTCATTGTCTGATCAAGTGAACGGATGAGTCAGTGAGGCAGCACACTGAAGGCTGCTGAACAAGAACGTGCACAGAAAATCAGTACACGTTGGTGAATTGAACGAAAAACCCCAGCCATATGATGAATGAGCTAACAAAATTCTACCATTGCACAGGACTTTCGGTCAATCACGTCCTAATTAAAAATGATTAGTGCTTTCCCAAGTTTAGACTAAATCAAATCAAAACTGGAATAATTTTGCGGCTGAGTTGTGCCACAACACAAGCACCGTAACAGAGCATATGATTCGTTTGGAACTCCAAACAACTCCGGGGAGCTTTAAACGACGGCATTTAAAAAGTAAATAGACCACAACTGAAGAAGTAGAATGCGACAAGGTTTTCACAGGGCGACAAAGCAGCACTGAATTATAGTGAAAGTGAAATGCGTGTTTGACATCCGTGGCATTGCAAATTTGAGTAAGCAGGGTGGTAAGTGGTAGAAAGCAACAGAAGATGAATGCACACGGATATTACCCCATAAACAACATGTGAATATCTCTCTGATAAATCAAACACATCCCCAAATCCGAGTAAATCAATCACAAACTGATTGTGAGACATTTTAATTCGCCCTTCTTCATGCCCAAGTTTAAAGAAAGAAAACAAACTGATATGGTGACAGCCAACGAAAGCCATTCATTCGCGCAACGTAATGCAAAACTCACCAAGTTACATCACCCGAACTGGTCACAATCTGACTATCATCAATGAAACGACAGCATGACAGATAGCCTGTGTGTCCCGGAAGTTCCCGACTGACACGTACGTTACCCTCTCGGGTTTTCAGATTGTAAATCGAACAAATGTTGTCAAGACCACCACATGCGACATAGTTTCCGGAGGGTGCATAGGCACAAGTCATAACCCAACTGCTTCGCAACGGGATAGCATGAACCTAGAAGATGGTAAGGAATGAAGGAGAGTGGAGTGAATCGTCGGTGAGGTGCACACTGAACTGGAATCGATACAACGGACATGACGACGAATTTTCACTGACTCGTCCCTGACCACCACAATCCGCGGCAAAAGGAAATTCAGTGTGTCCGTTATTCAGGGTAATTGATACCATGCATTGTCAAGCTACAGAATCACGGCTCCCCTCAGCCTCACAAGAACAGAACACCAGACTTAGTTCAGCCGATGTATGTGTGCGTGAAACAGATAAAGAGCCTATATTTGAAGCTGATTTAACCAAATGAGTTAAAGTCAGAGTTGACGGATGGTGATTCCAAACGTAACGGTCATTCAAACGCACCATAATACAAGTCAACCATCACACAGGTAAAGTAATAAATTACCTTGTTGGTTGTATAGCCGTCCCACACAATAAGCTTTCCATCTTGCGAAGCTGAGACAAGATTTCTTGAATCTGTACTCCAGTGCATTGCGTATATCTTTGCCAAATGTCCACGAAGGGTGCGTCGAGTACGCATTTGTATCCGACCAACTGGTTCGACATTGGCGGCGGCTTGAGCAAGAGTGGTGTCGGCTGCCGCCTTCCGGGCTTCCTATAATATATGCCACTAGACATTAGTCTGATGGAGAAAACGGCGAAAAAATGCACACATCTGAATAACGCACGCATTCAATGAATCAAGTGACCAAAGGAGCCTCGAGGTGGCCCTTGACCACCGTACCACAACCGGGCCTAGTTGTGTGGAAAAAAGAGGCAGCATAAACCTCGCTATCTCTGGTAAAAACACGAGTAGCCGCGGAGTGGATTGGGAAAAAAGAGCAGCCTAACTGATAGCAAATATCCACCACCTTGGCCAGGGAGCTGATGGAGCCAAGCATTGTCGCCCGAACGTTACTGCCATTATAACCTCGTACCGCATGATTCCACAAACGAATAAAGGAACTATGGGCTTCATGGGGCTCCCGATGGGTGCCCAAGCTTTTGAGCTAATAGGCTATAGTCGGTATCCGTTCTGATCTTTAAATGTTTCCGATTATCGCCGCAACACAGTTTTATTTGGTTGCTCCGAACCTAAGCATCCAAAAAATAATACTACAAGTTTGGCTTTTTATATACTAAAGTACAAACACGGAACCAGTGGGCACAGGAGGTCTCCAACTGTGTGTAACAGATACAAAGGCCGAGCATGGCAGAAATATCTCGGCTTTATCCAGTCTGAAGTATACAGTTTGGTCATCTCCTAAGTGGTTTAACCCAGTGACAACAAAGTAGCCATAGAGGTTATCACAATTACAAACAAATCTTGTCTATTTTCGTGCGTCAATGGTTATATGCGTACCTTTCGCGCAGCTGATGTCTTCTTCCCACCTGGAATCCAGTACAGTAGCAAGCTATTAAACCTCGAGCAATTAAACCGGACTGAAAAGTTGAATAACAAATGGGGCGGGGCTCTAAGTAAGTAGTGATGACTTAGAACCAGGGCTATAAAATGTCACATACTACCCTTCTGTCGAGCTGTCAAACATTTTAGGGTTTGAATCCATGAATATGCTCGCGCGGAACTTACCCTGATCATGTTTTTCAGCTGCTCGCTTTCTTGCCGCAGTTGATCTAGTTCACTCATGGTGAAACTGGGGCTGAAAATACAAGAGAAGCAACGGAATCATTGTGGAAAACGACACACTATCTGTGATGAGGAATGAGCGCATGTGCGGTGCGATGCAAGAGAAGATTCAAGTCCAGAAAACAAGGTGAAGAAATTTCGGTAACTGGCAATCATAGACAACTTTATACCTATGACCGTACAATAGTGTGCGGGAGAATCACCACTGACGATACGTTTATAACGATGCTTTCCTTGCAAGCGTAGCAAACTGCCAACGGTATATCCAAAATGTCTGTTTGGCAAAGACAAAAGGAGCATGGGAATCGTAAAAAAGATGGACAAGGTGGGGGGAAATCAGAAAGCAACAGAACAAAGAAGTTGGCAGAAAACGACCCAACGCAGATTAGTCACCTGCTGACGAGGAAGCATCTCCTGGGAATACTAGTGCCTCACCGACAAGGTTGTCTTAGGAAAGCGCTAAGGTGAAGGTCTGTCAATAGGTTTTCTTCATTAACCCTCCAAAGACTCGTTCGAGTGTCATGGCAATCTCGCTTCAAATGTTCATAGCTTTGTAGGACGATAAGCGACATAATAATGAGTCAGTATGGCAGACCTCTATAGCGGAACAATCGGCAAAGAAAATTTGGCCCTCAACAACCGGACTCGAAGGACAAAAAATGAAAAGGAGAATTACAGAAGAACTATGTATTTTATCATAAAAACAACTGGTTACAGAATAGCTCAGCAAATATGGTTATCACTTTTAACCTCGCTCAATTTTCAACTAACAGCATCTTTCAGTCTGCATTACCGCAGTGAAAAGCTCCAAAAATTCTGATGTAGTTGTAACTGAAGTTGCTAGAAAGCAGTACTAGTGACATCAGTCAATGGATGAACATATACGAATGTCAACAGTGATTTAAGGGGGGTCCCACAAGTATACTTTTCCTGGAACAATTCTCTCATGAAATGGGTCAGGCATTAGTGAATAGGCAGGCGAACCAAGACAGGAGATCATCAAGCAGCTCAACACTTTGAAAGGTGCCAGCAGTCTTACTCCACTAGAAAACAATAATCCTAGTTTGAAGAAGTCATTTTGTACGGCAACAGTGAAGTGGCTTCTCTACCGCAAACAGACATGTGGTTGTCACCGAGATCGAGTACTACTCCAAGATGTTTGTCAAATGCCCTTCGCCTTTCAGACAGTGATTTGTGAAGCCGCACAAGCTTGCGTGCATCTTACTAGCATAAAGCTTTACCCAACCAGCAATATACCTTAATTGCTATCGTTCGAGTAGACGATTTCCTCCTATCATTACTCCCCATTAACGCAATTTCGTACAGCCTTGGACTTAGACAGTGAGTTTTTTTATCATCAGTGATGATTCCTGTACACCTTATATGAACGATGACGAACTGATAGACATGATAAATATTGGAACAAGTTGTATCCAATCTAGTACATGGCAGGACACCTAGTCAGCGTATCTGAGAAATTCTAATTATCGTCTGGTACAAGGAGAGTGAGAACTGCGGTGCTCATAACCAGCGAAATTATGAAACTTTAGTTCCACCGGTATTTAGTATTTATTTCAAATCGAAACTGTAAGAATGGTCGCTAACAGAGAATAGGAATAAATCATACTAAATCAATACAAAACATAGGCTCGACACCTGTGGCTGCTCATCAATCATGCCCGCATGGTTGCCACGCCAAAACATCTGAACAAAAGTGGGATAACTACAACTGAGACACAACGAACTGTTGAGTGCTGATGCCAGTACAGAAGACTGAAGAAATCTGGACAATGCACATGTCAAGTTTGTGTGTGATATTTCGCTCCAAAGGCATCACCTTGCATTCACCTGGTCGGTAGAAGGAGCGATACCCAGGAAGAGATCGGTAGAAAATCAGCAACCACCCAGCTGTTATGCATGGATTTCACTTTAAACGGCACAATAATAAAGAGAAGTCAGCTAGTTGAGAATAACCCCGCAAAAGATCGGCTTTTTTCAGCCAAGAAGACAGGAAAGTTGGTCTCAGCGTTATAAAGTAGCGAATCTCAGCAGAAACTGAAGTTTTAGGCCAGAGGTGTGTGCACGCTGGTTGGCGGTCCGATTGAGACGGATAACCACAAGCGGAGAAAATATGGTACCAAATGGGTAAACTACAGAGTTGACTACAGAGTGAAGAGACTTGAACACTTTCCAACCCTGTATTAACTGGCTTCCATTCATCACACGATACCATTACTGACGAGGAAAGTTCTAGGACAATTTTAACCCTGAATGAGGCTTTCAAGACAGCGTACTAACATCAGGAGTCATCTTAATTCACGGGATTGGAATAAGCTAATCGCCTGACTGAATCCTTAACGGTCCATTTGGATGTACAAAAACAAGTTCCCCACAAATAAGTGACGACCACAGATGGTTTGGACTGTTACCCATAAGCAATCCTGCTAACTCAATCACGATACATGATCGCTCAGCTTTTGCCACTGTAAGAAGGTTAAAGGCCAGTCAGAAATCAGTCAGTCAGATTAGTCGGAAGATAAATCGATCTTGAGAATCTTCTGTCTTCGATCCAGAGAAGAGTTATAAGTGAGGTGACCTTCTCTAAAAAGAACGTCATTTAAAGAATGGCCAGGAGTGGCTAGATGTGGTACCTTGAAGACTAGTTCCCTGAGATGACACCGCTGAATGAATAAGTGCTTTATGTGGCTGATTTACTGAAAAGGTCTACACCGATTAGAACCTACGAGCATTGCCAAGTGACCGCGAAAAAAGATTGGTCAACTGGACTGTCCATGGCAAACGTAAGCCAATATAGGCCAGTCAAAATCAGTCAGTCAGATTAGTCGGAAGATAAATCGATCTTGAGAATCTTCTGTCTTCGATCCAGAGAAGAGTTATAAGTGAGGTGACCTTCTCTAAAAAGAACGTCATTTAAAGAATGGCCAGGAGTGGCTAGATGTGGTACCTTGAAGACTAGTTCCCTGAGATGACACCGCTGAATGAATAAGTGCTTTATGTGGCTGATTTACTGAAAAGGTCTACACCGATTAGAACCTACGAGCATTGCCAAGTGACCGCGAAAAAAGATTGGTCAACTGGACTGTCCATGGCAAACGTAAGCCAATATGAACGATGTGAGGCGAGTAATCAATGATACAAAGTCTGGTGATCACGACTCAGTGAGTGACTGCTGCTTATCCCCACTCTCTGTTAGCAACACACTGTGAAGTCCTTGGAATCAGTCCATTCAAAACACCTAAATTCAACCGACGCGTTGAAGAATATTCTGATGTACACCAGTTTCTCAAGAGGCTGATGAGAAGCCGTAATACGGTGACATAGTGAAGGTTGATCCAAGAAGTCAGCTGGGAGTGATAAAGGTGTGTTTGCCGTCGCAGACACTCTTGACTAATCATCGAATCATCATGCTTACAAAATTCAGATAAACGTCGTGTCAGCACCGTTCATGGAATGATTTTTCGCGTTGTTCTGCGACCGAAACTTCTATCTACATTTCATTTCGGCTCGCTCGATATTTCCAAAACCAGCTAAAATTCTCTTTGAATGTCCCAATAACCAAGACGGCGTGTCCGTGGATGAACTGCTGATGTATAGTTTGCAGACAGTTTCACTTAAACCAGGTTTCTTGGTCGATTTGATTGAAACAGGATGCGACCGCAATCTCTCAATAAAACCTTTTACTGCCCAGAGTTTTTGCTATTCTCTGGCTTTCTGCGTCACACCCCCACGCTATTTCTGAGCGGTTGCGCGATCCACGTGAGCAACTACGCATGTCATAGTTTTCCCTTGCATCACTAAGAACCACTGATCGCGAAAATATGCGGTGTCTATTCGGCCGTATCGGAGAATATGGGCAGATGCTCTTAAGATCTGAACATGGTCTTTTCAAAATGGCGTAACGTTTCTTGCAAGCAAACGACCACCATCGTCTTGTGACATTCCTCTCA